ATTTTGTCCCATTTTGACAGATTTTATAATGAGCACACATAATTTGTATAATTTTGTTTTTCAAGTATCAATTGACTTACTATAAGTCATTGTTGATGGGGCAAAACATGACGGGGTGGACAAATCCAATCCCCGTCCAAAAAAATTGTGGGACGAGGCGGGGTGACCTCGAGTCCGGTCGGCTTGCTATTCCTAACTAATAAATATATATAAAAAAACTTCACTTAACATAATCGAAATCATTCTAGAAGGATGAGTAATTTAGCCAAATATGTCTTGGTCGGATAGACACTCGCATCGTCTAAAAGTTCGTATTTATTTAGATTTGTCCGATCATATTTTAGACAAATAAGTACATCTAAATCAACTATTACTATCCGTACCAACGACAAGAACAAACTATACATGCCTTAAATGCAAGCACATTCTTGGGATTGTGTCTATTAAGTAGACAATATTCATGACATCATCGATCATTCGGTAATCCATCAATTTCAAATATTTTCTAATCGTATTTTAAAATTATGCGTGGCAAAAGAATTATGTCTCTAACATTTCTCCACACAAGTTGGCGGGACTCATCTATATAAACAACCATGAGCCCTAGGGCAGCAAGTTCACAATATATAGTCTCTTAACTACTATTCATCTTCTTCTTGCATTTACAATACAATATTGTCGAGTTCATTTTCCTTCAATATTTTCTAAGTTAATTATCAAAGTATCTCCATTCTATCAAGGAGACTTGTTTCATATGTGTTTCAATGAACTTAGTTGTAACACGTGATGGAGTTTTGTCAACTCTTATTTGATAGGAAATGTATTAAGATGAATTTGGATAGCAATTGCACAAAAGTAAGTATGTAAAGTCCAATTTCAAGGCAGAGAAATTAAAAACAAACATTACCAATAAATTGTTGGTATAGTGATAAACGAACCGGTTTTTAGATAAATTTTTTTATCAATATATAGAGTTTGAGTCTTGAAATCTTATTGAGAGGGATTAAACATTATCGTTTATGTCTCGAACAAGATTAATCTTATCTTCACCGTTAGATGAGGATATTCATGAAAAAATATAGTTTAAATAAATTAATAAATTTTACAACTAATATCACATACCTTCTTCATGTTGCAAACCACAAACATCAATTGTTAGAAACGAATCAAACAAAAAGGTAATAAATAATCACAAAACATAAGATTTGTGTGATTCAATAAATTCATATTTATAATACGTACAACTATGTTTATTAAAAATTATAGCGAAACTACTATGCTAACTCTACTTAACCACAAAACTGCAGACTATATCAACGTTAGTCTCTATAATTTAACACCGACTTCTTTATTTTTCAAATCATTAGCATCGACTTCTTTATGTTCTAAAGCATTAACATTAACTTTTTTATTTTTTACACCACTATAAACGATCTCTTTAGATTCAAATCTTGGACATTTGGAAGGCTTCTCTTGAGAAGAATTTTTAATTCGTCCACTTTAATTAAGTCTTTTCTTTAATTAAAAATGAATCAATTGTCTTTAACTTTCCCATAATGAATTGATAAATTCCTAAAACAATCAAACAAATTAGCAATGTTAATTTTTATAGTATGAAAAAGAAAGTTTAAATTTATGCAAATAAACTCAATTTTTTTATCTTTAATATTATTATCATAACAATGTCTAATTTTCACTAATATATTAAAATATTAGAGTATACCCATTTTAATTCTATGCATAAAAAATAATCTGTTATAATTAACCTCTTATTAGAAGACAATAAATCATCATACAAGTCATAAATAGTATAATTTTAGTATTGATTAAAATCCTAAAATATACATATTAAACTATAACAATTATATGCATCAAAATATAATTCATTGTGTTTAGTATTTACCCATAACCAATAAAGGATAGCATAAAAGAAAAACAAATAAAATACTAAAAATATCATTCAACAAAAAAATTCTAGATAAATTTGAAAAAAATTTTTAAAAAGAAAATTATTGTTTTGATGAATTTTGTATCTTTATAATAGCTGTCCTTGATGATGTTAGAATTTTGCCAGCAAAGTCACTATTCGTAAACATGTAAATAAAGCAAAAACTTAACTTAGAAGCCACTAAAAACGTACAGGGTAGAGATAGATAAACATGAACACTGATCTTTACAGCTCATGTGCCATGAAAATATTGTACAGAAATAGGAAAGAACAATGGCCACACATACAGAGATAGAATTGCAGTGGTCCTAATTAACCACATTATCCTCTAGAGAGCTCAGTCCTCAACCAAAGCACTGATCACTTGGAAGAGGCCCTGGAATGGAACCCTTCTCGAAGAATTGCAATCCAAACACAGCTAAAATGGCAAGCAATGACAAGTATGACAAACCTTCTACAGCTCCCAACAACCCAAAAGGTCCGCTAGGCAGACCAGAGCCAGTTTTGGTCTTGGTGTACAAGGACCAACCTATAATTCCAACAACAACCAGGTAACTTACACCTTCCAGTGCACCAATTGAACCTCCTGGTCCAGGAGGGAGGCCACACCCAGTTGTTTTGAGGGTGTAGAGAGACCAGGCAATTACTGGGGTCGAGACCAATCCACCGGCTATTGCAACTTTCTCTATGATGCCATTGCCACTATCAGTGGTCTCCTTTGCCATGGCTAAAACCTTGAGTGGCTGGCGCAGTCTTGTACTTCTGTTATTGACATGGTAGCTGTGATGTTGTAATGACAAAAGTGAGGCAGATGATGGTGATAATAGCAACATTTTGACGCCCAATTTGGCCAAAGTCGAACCAATTATCTTGGTTCTGAGAAATAAGAGAGTGATATTAGCGGTGCTCTCAATTTCTCAAATCTAATGTCTTGCTACCTTATCCTTATTTTTATTGTCAGCAGCAAAAGATGGAACCATTCGTTTCAAGGACCCCTTTTGATCAGTGCAGCTGCACAAGAGATCTGGACCGTCAATTTTCTGATGCAAGTTTAGAGGAATTATATACATAACCCAATTATTGAATTAAAATGACAAAAATCCCAGATATTAGTTTTATTTTTTTCTGATTTTATGGAGGGATTCCTTGTTTCCATCCAATTTTTTTTATATACATAATGGGTTGTAATTGCAATAATAAGTTAATACACAATTTATTGTTGAAGCATTGTGCGAAAATGAATAGCATCCTTAGGAGCATTAAGCAATTGTAATTCTAGAAAAGTGCTTCAAGTTCTGAAAAACAAAGCAATTCTGGAAAGTAATTTTCAGAATTTCTTTGATCGCTTAAACATATTCATGCTCTGATGACATTCATATTTTAAGATCAACTAACAAACAAGAATGAAAATAGCATTTATTATGCTCAAATGACCATCACTATTGAAGACCAAATAAAACATTTTCAACTAATATTTTAAATTAACAGCCATTATGTCCTAAAGACATTTACAATTTCAGATCAAATCAAAACATGTTCCACTCACAGTCAAATGATTCATAATTCATTACAATAATCCATAATTGAAGTGTGTTGGATTTAGTAGTTTTAAATTGTAATATATATATATACATAGAAAATCGAATGAAAGTTGAGCAACCATTATCTAGTTAATAACAACGTATTAACCCTTGAATTTCGTGAATAAGAACATAAAACTTGTAGAGTTTTAGATTATTTTTTTATTTTTATTTCTATATATAATAATTAAAAAAAGCTTTTCGATATTTTCAATTTCCACATCATATTAGTTATTTCATATCTAGCGCTTATGGGGCCGAAAAAAAAAATCTATTTAAGTAATTAAGTATCTTGTTTAGGAAAATAAGTTTTAAAAATACCATGATTAGGAAAAAAAAATCCCCTCTCAAGAACTCTTGAATTTGAACCTCTCTTTTGTTAAAAGGAAAAAAAAATTAATTTAATTTTAGATGGGATTCTTTTCATACTGCAATAATGTAGATTGGGTAAATTACATGGCCGTTGGTTGCAAAATCCTTATTTTGCGAAGCCAGATGGTGATCAGTAGCAGCAAGAAATTCCAAACCCATGTCATGTACTTTCTCCAAGGGCCCAGGCTCGCAGCTGGTTGAGAATTACGTTTGAGCTGACGATTTACCTGGGCTAGAAGTCAGCGAATCACTAAGGTTGGCTCAGTCACTTTCTACTTGGGTTTCACCTGCGTTCATAGGCACCTGGTTCGGCAAAATGACAGTCCAATAATCTCTAAGAGATTCAAAGGGAAGTAAGATATGATCAAGTCTTTAATACCGCTTGATCAAATTCCCATGATTCATTCACCTGCTCTTACAAGTCAAAATACTACACCAGGACCCATGCCACGTGGTTCAAAGCTTTTCTGTGCATTTTAGAACCGGTGCAAAAGACACTGTACGGTGAATTGGTTTCTTTGAGATTGAGCACACAATTGGCCACATGGCCTACACACACCTGGTAATAAATAAAAGCAACTGACCAATTGCGAGGAGACAAGTAGCAGAGGGTAAAAGAATTGGAAAAGGGTCAAAATTCTTTAAAAGCCCACTTGATTGAACGAAACAGAACGGAAAAGAAGAAACTATCTACAAGCGTTTGTACCAAGCCAATTTTTATAACAAGCTTTGGCCTAAGCTAAGGAATAAAAACCAAGACAGCCTTTTCTCTCTTTTGTCCCTCCATTTAGTTCCCATTTGAATTAACAGACCCCTGGGAGCAGAAAAATTGGGCGGTGAAACCCTCTTCATAACTGCCATTTGAATTGACAAAGACTAACGGCTATATAAGAAAAGGGAAGAAGCGGGACAGTACTAACAACTTTTTGAATCTAACAACATGCCACCCAATATATAAACTCCTTTCCCTAAATATCTTGTCCAAGGGGGATATCCAAAATCACTAACAGACTACGACCAATCTATCTAACAAGTTCTTCTGTTTTTCCAAGCTTCAAGACATAAACAAAACATTTTTTACCAAGGAGATTGAAGATGAGCTAATGGGGCTTCTTCGATGATGACTTCGTATACTCAACAACATCATCATCATCCTCCTCCTCACCCTCGTCCTCCTCATCTTCATCTCTCTTCCTCTTAAGATGTGAGGATGATGGTAGCTCCTTTAATTCGTCGTCGTCGTCAACTTCTTCCTCCCCTTCAGGATCATCTTCTTCATTCCCTGCCTCCATGTCACTACCTCCAGCATCATGAACTTCTGTCTGCCCCACTGGTTGAACAAGGTACCCTGCATCAGAATCTTCATCCTGCCATTGCAATAAGACATTCTGTCCAGTTAGCATATAAAAAATCAAGAATATCACTGCCATAATATAAACGAGAAAAAGCATCGGCATTTTGAAACAACAAATGATACGAGTACTTGAAAATGCTAAAGAAATGCATTTTGACTCGATTTCGGGTTTGTTTGAATGTGAAGAATCTGAGTTCTACGTAACTGAAAAGGGCTCCAAAAGAAAAGTGATCTACACATGCATACTGCGCATAAGATACCGGTGAACATGGCAAAACAAGATAAGAAGATGAACAAAAACAATAATCCATATATAATATCTTGAACATTTTCCACCAAACTGAAATCACGTACAATAGACTGAATGGTGAAACATTAAACCAGTAAATAAATGAAAACAAAAAGGTCAGATCAGGCCAGATGGCACACACTTTACCCATACATTGTTAAATACTAAATAAACAGGGCATTAATAAAGCATGGGATGTGAGCTTAAGAAAACAATCATCAGTGCCATACTAACCACATGCTATAAAACCACTTTCAGACAGCAAAACAGTACTACAATGAGTTAGGAAGGGTAAGAAAACCACATGCCATGTAAAACGGTTTTTCCCAAACCAGTACCAAAGAACTGGCAATAGCATTTCCAACAAGAAGAAAGAGAGCCACAGAAAGGAATTTTTGTCGGATCATATCACCAACTAACATTGACCATCTTCACTCTTTCCCACCTACTTACTAAAACACTTGAGAGTTTCTTTTTGTCCTTTTGACATCTTTCTCAAGTCTTTCCTCAAAAAACTCAAAAAGAGTACAAAATATCTAAAATATGATCTTATCCTCTGAAGGTTACCAAATTCCCTAAATTTTGTGAACTTCCCATTAAACTGCACGAACATCCAGAACTGTCTATCACCTTCACTTCCTTGATCTAAACAACACTTCACACATTAGAATTCAATTTACAATCTGTTTTCCAGATTACCGTCCACCCTATCAGCAAGGACTGTGAATCTGCTGTCTGTGAAAACAAAGAACAAATATCTACTAGCAAGATATAAAAACAATACACCAGTGTCCAGGCTACTGATAAAATTAAACAAGTGGCAAAACAAAACACGATAGCAAATACATTGAAAACCCATATTTTCTCAGTCTAATGCAGATAAAAACCAGATCGTAAAGATGCCATAAACCAAGCAGTATCAAATCATGCATATATATGCAGTAAAAATAAGGCTTTAAACCCTTAACAGAAGTCATGTTTTTCCATCTTTTCTGCAAATTTAACACAATAGCAATCAAACAGTTAACCCAACCAAGCAACACATGTATAGCAGACAAAAATTAAATATGAAAGTAATCATAAGATTCCAGAGCATCTCACCTCCTCCTCACCATCTTCCTCATCATCAAACTCTCCATCATCCTCAACACCTTGCTCCTCCTCACCAGTCTCCCCATTATCATCCTCTTCACCATCATCCTCCCCTTGCTCATGCCCATCAATCTCCCCTTCCGTACTCGTTAACCTTCCTGTACTCTCCGGCTCACCAAGATCCACTTCGTCATTATCCACCTCTTCCTCATCCTCCTCCCCCTCCTCCTCGTCATCTTCATTGTCATCATCGTCGTCGTCATCCTCCTCCTCATACTCCACCGCATCATCATCCTCATCACTATCATCACCAATCTCATGTACTTCCACCACATCGTCATCATCGTCATCCTCCTCATCAATCTCCTCTTCCCCAAACTCATCCCCCTCCTCATCCTCCTCCCCCTCCCCTTCCCCACCCTCCCCCTCCCTGTCCACAACCTCAACCCGGAACCCATTTTGCCTAACCCCGTTACTCTCTCTCCCCATCTCTGTCTCCTCCTCATCCGCCTCACTCTCCTCTTCCTCATCCACATCAACAATCCCTTCCCCAACTTCACTATGCCCGTTATTCATCCTAAATGGCTTTTCCTCCCCATCAACCTCACCACTCCCTGGATCATCTTCCTCGTCCTCCTCTTCATCCTCCTCCTCATCATCTGACTCCGGTCTCTCATTCTCCTCAGCATCCATTTTATCCAAATACTTCAAGGAACTAATCAATCCAAAAACCCTAGACCGATAATCCTTCACTCTCGTAACCGGACACTCGTACAAATCAAGCGAAACCAACCTTAACTTCGCCAAAGGAGCTAGATCTTCAATATACTGAATCCTATTATTTGATAAATCTAAATCCCGAAGCGAATCGAGTCCAGCTTCTACAAGAAATTCTAAACCACCGGATATTCTATTATCGGATAATATTAATTTCTGTAGATTTCGAAGACGAGGAAATTGCTCTAACGTTGAAACACCAGTATTTGCTATAGATAGATGTTGAAGATTCTCGAATTTTTCGAATAAACTTGGCGCTGGTAATCTTCCTTGTATACACTTAACGGCACCGTCTAGGGTTAGATTTCTTACCGCTAAGTTATCTGTTTGCCCCTCTAATGCTGTCTCCACTGCTCTTTCCCAGATCTCATCCATCAAAATATTAACAAAAAACAAAAATCACCAAAACTCTTCTATTAATTTATGTTTTAGGGCACTAATTTCATTGTAGATCAAAACCACAATCAGCAGCTATAAACCCTAATTTTTTCTGAGGTTGTACGGATTTCCTTACTGTTGAGATATATTTTTTTTGGGTTTTAAATGGAACAAAAAAAAAAACAAGGCAAAATACTAACACTTCTACTCTCGGTTTCTCTTCCTCTGTTTTTTTGTTTTTAAAACAAACTGTGGTTTTTTATTGGTCGAGGGAGAGGGAGGATGGATGTTGAGGGCTCGAGGGTTTGGGGCTGGGGCTGAGCCAGGGCGCGGCTTGGGGGTTTGGGTTAGGGTTAGTGTGTGAATTATTGGGAGGGTGTGGTCCGTTCGATTGGAGAGGGTGAGGATTGATGACGTGGGGGAATGGGTGGTGGAGATTGGCGTTTGGTGTGTTTGTTTTCGAGAAGAAAGAGAAGGGTTTTCTAGCTGGTTTGGTCTCTACGCGTTTGACACGTCAGTTTTGGTGTTAATATCGGGGCGATCAGAGAAAAGCCATTGAGGTTTGAGAAAATTTACGGGATTACCACGGAGTTTGATTACAAAAGCATTACGACATCAGGATTGGTCGTTTTGCTCTGTTTGTATTTAAAAAAATAATAATAATAAATAAACGCACTCTAATAAAAAGGACTAAAAATATACAATTTTTTAAATTTATTTAAACTCGTCATAATTTTTTTAAAAAGAAAAATTTTTTAAATTAGTCTCTTTACTTTGAGAAATAAATTAATTAGTTTTTTTTTTTGTTTAAAAAACTATTTATCTAGTCTTTTTTATCTTTTTTTATTTTAAAATATATATTATGAAAAGATTGATGAGAAAATAAGGTATTTATAGAAATAAAATAATATTAAATTAATTAGTGTCAATACTGATTAAGAAACTAAATTAGTTTTTTTAAACTAATTAATTTATTTCTAAAAAAATAGAGGAAATAATTTATAATTTACTCCAATTTGAGGCTTCTAGATTGCTTCCAACTTTTAATTAGATGAAACTAAAGCCTAGAGCGAAATTCATTCGGGCACAATTTTACAGGTGAAAATTAACCATCTAAGCACAAAAAATTACTCCTACAACTCGAATAAAAGAAACACGAGGTGCAAAATATTTGTAACCGATTTGGAAAAGAATTGGGTTCTAATGTTCAAATCCAAAGAAAGACTGAAAAACAAAGTGTCACAAACACAATAATCCAATTTTAGAAAAGTTGCCAAGTTTGAAACTGATGTAAAAGTACCTATATCCTTTTTGGGAAAACGACGACGAAGTGACAAAGGTGGCCATTGTTCATCCGTGGGAAGATTAGGTGTACTGTATACTCCTAGAAGGACAGCAATTGGTCCCTTCCTGAGTTTAAGAGAAAACCTAATTGCAACAAAGTTCTGGTAGAAATGGCCAATTGGCCATGCAATTCACACACACAAGCATAGCTATAAATCATCCATTTTTTTTACAGGTCATTTCCCCACGACGAAACGATCATAATTTTAAATAATAATCATTGTGTTGTATATCAATTGTTATCTATGAATATTCTACGCTGCTGTAACGTTCCAGCCTCTCTCTCGAGGCTTGAAGCACCACAGAATGGTATCAGAACAAATCGATTCAGTAATCTTAGAAAGTACACACAAACTCCAGCTTCAACAATATCGTCATTGCATAAATATATAATTTTCGTTGGATTGTAACAGTTTTGAAACATTCTTTTATTATTATTTTAATATTATAATAAACTGCCATCTACGATCTACAACTTTTTAACCGTTAGGGATTTAAAATTATACCAACAATGGAAGAAGTGATCAGTTTGCACACGAAAAAAATGCATCTACAACTTACAATCACTATCATTTTAGACTTTGCATAACGGGACCACGGCTCAACTTAACGAGAGAATTTGCAACCTTTCGCATGCAAGCAAGTTCGTAGCAAACTCTCAAGAAGAATTGATTCACTGAATACGTAACAAGATTCAACATAAACCAGATACCGCAAAGCATGTCCACAAAAATTTAATTAAACAATGGACAGACAAGCCCAAAAAAATTACAGAAAGGACCTCCTAAAATACATTTCTCATGATGGAAACGAGAATAAATAAAATTAGGTATCACGATTATGCATTTCCAGTCTTCTTCTCCACATATCTTCACTAAGCTATCCAATTTCAACTGGTTGTGCATCTTAGGCCTCAAGGCACGTAAGAAGCAATAACACTGGGTCATGATATCATCATCCACCTAGTGGAAAAATATCGTCTCGGTGCTAAAAATTTTCACGATCAGCTGGCTGTGAATTGTGCAGGAAAAAGCTAACTTTTAAGTCATCCATCACTTCACGTCTTGCAATAAAAAGCAGCATATCTACATCTTGGTTGTTGTCCTCCTTCCAATTTCTTTAAATATACCGATCTTACCATAAATGAGAAGGTTCAAAAGCTTCGTGAGGCCGCTAAACTGTTCTTTTGTTGGGGCTACTAGTACTGGCTAAAACCTAGAAGCTAGAGGGACAAACAGCTCCTTTGAAATTCTTACCCAAATGTCACCATCCATTCAAGCACGTCAAGAAGCGTAAGCACATTAAAATGCCACAGTTGACTTACTTGGTGGTCCTTGCAAGAATTTCTATTTTGCAAGTTGCTTTATGCTTGCTGGATTTGAGAATGCACGAGCCCTGACAGATCATACCGGGAACACATATGTGAGAAACAAATTGTAAATTGTACAACTTTGAACCCATCCATCATTAGAAGATAGCATATGACTTTATTAATGGAATAACCAATTTCTGTATTGATATGACAAAACTAAAGAAGCAAGATGAAAGCTTTCTGGCATGCAAAATGAACAGTTAAACAAAAACTGCAGACTTAATTAGCGGGGAAGCTCGTAACTACATTTTTTGGTGCTGTACAACAATATGTACCTGAAAAAAGAGGGTCCAATTCACGCCAAGCTACTTGTTATCTCCACCGTTATTGCCAATTTTACCTCCATTTTGACTGCCAACACCTTTAAGCTCAGCATAACCTGGTGCTAGCTTGGGTGGTGGCTGCACTATTGGAGAAGGCCCTGATGAAGGTGTGGACTGAAATGACCAGGAGATTGTACTTGCACCTGAAGCTGGGGAATTAGATAATTGGTTTGGCCTTGTTGAAGCTGTTGGATCTTTATCCGTGTCCTGCTTGTCTGCCTTCTCTTCTAACTCTTGACGACTAGGCTGCGACTCATTGATATCCACTCGAACTACATTCTGATTTGTATCTCCCACCGACCGAACTCCAGAAGATACTAACTGAAGCCAGGGCTGCCTGAAATTCTGCCATGGAGGCAGACGGAGCCCACGAGAATTACCAGCATTTTCAGCATCCTCTTTGCCTCTGGCCAACTCGCTTGGCTTATTTGATTTACTATCTAGTTGTTTATCTTTGTCGGAAGACAAAGCTATTAATTCAACTGGATCAACTTTAGGTGCAGAAGAACGGCCTGTTGCAATTGTAGTTGTTGGAAATGCTTTCTCAGGAGGGACAGCAGGAGTATAATTTTTTGGAAGCAGATCATCCCAATTCTCCAAAAGTTCCTTGTAGACTTTACGGAGGGTGACTTCTGTGAGACCTGTCACCTTACAAATCTCTGCCTGCGTCTTTCTTTTATCTTCCAGTTGGCATGCCAGATATATAGCAGCTGCAGAGATGCTAATAGGATTCCGACGGGTGCAGAAGCATTTGTTGATAACAACTTCTCCAATGTGAGTTGCCAGTTCCTTCAAATTTACTCAAGTCAATTAGTTTCTCATTTTGATTAAGTGAAAAGCAAATGATCAAGAGAAAATCCACAAGCTCAAGAAGTAAAGAGTACGTCGTTTGTCTTTGCATCAATGTTTGGTTTAGAACTTTTGGTGTGATTACACTATAAGCTGGTAAATACTTAGACACAGCCACTTCAAATGAGCAAAACGTGTTTTTGTCTGCAATATATTTTAAAAGCCAGACCAAATATTTTGTAAATGGCTCCATCAACTTTTATTTCTTTTTGGTATTAAGACTCCATCAACTTTTTATGTATATGAATTGCCTACAACTTGCAAAACATAGAAATTTTGAAAATGTCAAGTGAACAGCTACTGAGGTTTTATCATCACCAAACTCATTTTTAGGTGTCAAAAACAACTTGGAATCTTGCAACAGTTTGACATTCAAAAGTACTGAAAAATTAATTGTAGTACAGTAGATTTTCATGCTTTCTTTTTGTTCCTTACAAGGCTCCAATTTTCCTGTTTCAAAATGTCTACTTCAATTTTCTTTTTCTATTTAATCTTCTTAACACTTCCAATCCTTCCAGCACAATTTTCAAAGTGTATTAACTACATTCTAACGTTTCCAACTTGAAAAGTCAGTCACTTCCACATAACAAGTACCTGGGCAGATTTGTTCAGTTGGAGGAGAGTGCAGAATCTAGGCATGTGCACCGAAATTGAATTACTATTAATTGGTTGACTTAGTTGCAAAGCTTCTCCTAGTATCTTGATGTACTTCCCGATCTCTTTCTGAGCCACATTGGCAGCGATTGAGATCTCCTGTTAACACAACCCAGAGATTCAAGTTAGAAATGGTCAAAGCTGAAAGATGCCAAGACCACCCCAACCACTTACAACTCCCAGGAGCACATTATCATATAGGCAAGCATCTAATCTGAACAAGATTAATTCCAGCCACAGTAGTAAGTAAAAGTACCCTTAAGATAAATTGCTACTATCATTAATAAACAACTAAGGTAATCATTAGAGAAGCTCTAGCTTATCTCTTATCCTTATTTCCACTTATTTTGACCTTAACAAGAACAGAGTACTTATCACTTACTAGGAGACATAATCTAGTCTGTGTAAAAACATAAACATGTACGTTGAAGAACGCATCAACTTTCAATCAAAGTAGCAAAAATAACAACAGCCCCATGTTACTTTTCGAAAAATAACGTCTCTATTTATAAAGACCCCTAAGTAATTCTCTCAAAATACAGCAATGCTAATTACAGTTACTTCAGTCTAAATAAAAACATCTGCATAGTATTCACTTATTTAATACCTGGAGGGTTCTCGGTTCTTGGGCTTCTCTAATAGCCTGAACAAGAGCAGCAGTAGCAAGGGCCTCAACACTCCGATTTCTCAAACAAGTAGCAGAACAACAATCTCTAAACAACTGAAACGCATGATCTGATATATCACAATCCAATCCCAAAATCGAAGCCACATCAATAATCTGCATGTACGCTCTCAAATTATCCACCACAACATTCGAACTTGAAGCCGGTGTAGAAGCACTTAATTCAATTGTCCGTTCAAGTTCTGCAAGGTGACCGGAAAAAGAGAGAGAAGAACGGAGGGAAACTGGGTTGGATTCGAGAGACCAAGTGGAGAAGGAGGTAATAAACCCTGTGGGCTCAAATGGGTCTTCTTCGTTTTGGTGGGTTTGAGTTTGGTGATGGTGAAGGGTGGGGAGATCGGAGGTAACGAGGCAAAGAGGGGTGTCTTGTGCACGGAGGTGGAAGAGATGGTGAGGTTGGAATTGGCGTTCCTCTACTACACGGCCGCAAGATGTGCATTCGGTTATGCAGCGGTTTGTGGATGTTGTAGCGCAGCGGCCTTGTGTGGCGGCGCAGTAGGGGCACTTCATGTTTGGCGTTGGTGATGGATTTGGGGATTCCGGTACGCTTTGTGGGAGAGGGTTGAGTTTATCGAAGAGGGAGGAGCCGAAGAGCTTTCAAATGAGCTTTTAGACAAAGGTCCTTTTATATAAATTGCGTTGACGCTAAATTCATGAATTTTTACCGCCCATATTTATTATGCCAATTAACTATAAATATATATCATCAGATGAGTTTGCATGTTAATTAAAATTAAATTTCACTAACAATTTTAAAAACACATCTCTTTAACCAATATACTGTATTAAAATAAATTCAATAAATTTTTTCAAACACTAATGGTAAAGTTTGCATCCATAAAATTAAGAAAGAAAACAAACCTTTTTAACCATGAGACGAACTCTTCCCTTTTCAATTTTCCTGATCTCTCAATTATTCTTAATCTGTGTAAAAATAGAGCTGTCTAATTAGGAGAAAATATGGAACTTTAGTGATGTCGAAACATTTTATCTTATATGTTGTAAGGAATGCACTCACTGATTCGAAGACACATGACCATTAAAACGGAAGAAGAAAGGGAAAAGCAAACAGCCTGCTTTGAATGGCCCTTTCTTCGAATTTCAGATGCCGAGGTAAGAATAACAGAGACAGATCGCAGATTAGCTTATCAACTTGTAAATATTGTTTCAAAGAATTCTTTCAGTTTATATAGCAGAAGAGATCTTACCAAAATTTCTTACTGAATTGATGTATTCAAAGTTGTTCAAGTCCACTCATATTTAACTCATAGTACGAAGATGGCGAAAGCAAAAAGTTCAAAGAATGAGAACCTAATTAAATACATATAGTTTATCCCCGTTGCGAAACAATAATTTAAGAGTATGGTTCCCCGATCACCACTGCTCACAAACTCTGGGTAGCTCATGAGCAATCAGACACGAATGAATATTTGAAGCCTCGGGTTTTCTCCAAAATCATTGGCCACTCCCTTTTATTGAAGTCACTGCAGCTAGCTTCAGACTCTTACTTAATTCTCGAGCTCTCTGAAAGCACACATTAAAAAAAGAAGAGGAAATATAGAGTTACCATGTCTGTCTCGCTCAAATTAATTCAGCACAAGAAAAGCACAGTTAGTGATACGAGTCTTTCGATGCTCAAATTAGCAAGAAAAATTAGCCTTAGTCTCATTCATCAAAACAAAAACGCAGGTTAAATGAGATGAGAGTTACTGAAAGGAGTTTGAAATGAAAAGGGATTGGAATCCTAAAGACCTGACAGACATTGCGGCCCTAGATAGGCCAAAATGCAAGAAAATGATTGTAGTTGTAGTTGTAGTTGTATAAAGGGAAAATCTCTATTTGAAGATATTACTAAAGTCTCACCATTGATGTTCTTTAGCTCTCTAATTTGATTTGATTATCAATATCTCAGAGTGAACTGAGTAAATGACCAGAGCACATCTATTGTTGCATCATACCAAGCCCATCTGGAAAGATAGCACTCATGGAGAGTGCTAGCAATCACAACAATTAAATCGAGCAAAGAGAACATAATTTGATACTCTACAACTGTGTAGCGAAGAACACAAGCCCACGATTTCAAGGGTACATTCCAAATAAGAAATGCTTCAGTGTCAACCCTAGTCGCTTCACAGAAAATGGAAAGATGAATTGATTTAATAATACAATGGCCAAAAGAGCAGAAAATCATTATAGGTCTAACAAATGAGAGACAGTTTTCCAATACAATCTGGGATAGCAATAATATACCCCTGAAGTTAGGAACATCCAACGGGGCTTAACCCACTCCAGCTATAAGATAGGAGAAGTTTCTAAACAACTAGACCTAGTGTTAGCAGATTCTGTTGATAAACCATTGAATACCAGCTGAGATGACAATTATCTTAAGCAGGCTGCCTTGAACAAATTTTCAACCAGGAAATATTTTGTTTGAGAAAAAGAGGCTTCCACAGAGCTATCAGAACAGACTGAACTAGCAAAAGTCTGTATCAAAGGATAGCATACAAACAAGAACCTGAAGAATTTCCTAATGAAAAACGGTAAAAGAATTGAATAAAATTTTGGAAAAAGTAGGCAAAATGAAAGGAATTGTCACATGGAAACTTTTGCCACCAACAAAACATAAAGCATTTACAATAGAACCAATATTCAAGAAAAACAGACATGAGTAATACTCTCTCTGGTCCCTAATATTAGCCCATTTTGGGTTTCACACATTCTTTCAGGCAATTGTTGAAAATGTCGCCAAGTATTAACAATTGTTAAAAATCTATTCCAAAATTTTAATCAGTAAGAAACTAGACAAGTAAAACCCTAATCCTACACCCAAGTCCAGAAAGCATTATGGAACTTCCACTTTCAATTCTTGGTAAGTTAAAAATTAGTCAAAACATTTTGTCAGTGATTTCAAGCTAAAACACCTATCATCCTAAGATTAAGGTCAACATTACCATTACTTTTTTTACCAGAGTGCTCTAATAAATGGATTTCCTCTCAGCATTCCAAAGTATAAAAAAGTTTATACTAATAAACCATCAAATCAAACTTTCATTTACTGAAGAATTAATAAGGATTAAATGCATTTTCACCAAACCCTTAGAAAAGAAATCACCACCATCGATTGGATAGGAAGTGGATCCATTGAGATCAATTAGATCGAACAGACATCTTAGCAATCTTAGTCTACACTAAATTCTATCTCATGAAATTTACCTGAATTTAAAATTACTATTTGGATCAGCCTTTCTTTTCATCCCTGATCCTGATGAGACCATACATTTCTTTCATTTTAGATCTGCCATTCTTTCGCTCTACTTTTTCCATGCGAGTTTCTTTTACAATGTTGTACTTACTTCCCTTCTTCGCTACTATATCTGTAGCCTGGGTTGTGTTTCATTCCATATCTATCTTTCAATAGAAAACTTCTTCCTTATATATTATTTACGCCAGCTTATCAAACTTCTTCCTAAATGAACAGTAAGCTCACTTAAGCTTGCTATTACTAAAATACACTAATGCAAACTCCAACACTAACTTCAGTAAGGTTTTCTATCACATCACTCAAACTTTCTACACTGAAACTTTGACCAATAAGTAAAATCACAAAGTAAGCCAACCTCCTAGCTCGAATCAACAACCGACAATAAACTTCCTCTTTCAATTCACATCAAAATCAATAATCACAAGATCAATGTCAACATTATCCTGACTAGTTTTTATACACTTCAAATCAAAATAAATTCATTCGCGGCAACTAAAACATTAAAATGCACAATCACAAAAACCTAGGAGAAAAAGAAAAAAACGAAATCCTCACCGTAGATTGAACCGGAAGCGGATCAAGATCAATAGACCGAATAGACATCTTAGCGATCTCAGAAATGGCAGCCTCTTTAACATCAGGTGCATCACTAGTCAACTCTTCATAAGCAGCCTCAAATGCCTCTTGCCAAAATTTAGGTAATCTGATCCGACGGCTATTCGTATATATATCCCACATATGCTTTACTACTTTCTCTCTCTCCTCCATTTCCTACATTAATTAGGATTCACCAATCAAAATAAATTCAGAAAATCAAAACAAAAAATAAAGAAAAATCCACCAATAGTGTTATGTACTGACTAGGACGTCGAGATCGTCGCGAATGGGAGTGTCGATGTCGTCGACGAGGCCGTTGAGATTGCCGGCGGACCACCGTAGAGTGACGGTTCCGGTGAGCATTGACCAGAATGCTAATAATAAAATTGCTGCTAAAGCCCAAAACTTGTAACGGCCTTTGCCGAATAGACCAGAATCGGAGACTTCCTTTTTCAAGCTTGGTGCTGTTGTCGTTGGAAGAGAATCATCATCCTTCATTTCGATTTATTTTTATTCTAGGGTTTTTTTTTCTTTTTTTTATTTATCGAAACCGCTTGTTTGGGTTTGTATTTTTCTAGTGAAAGAGAAATGGAGGTGGATTAGAGACAGAAGAGTGTGATTGTTTTTTTATTTTTTTTGATCGATCGATCTGATGGAGAGAGATTTTGCTAGTTATTGGAAGGGGAGGGGTAATTACATGTTTGGGATGTATACAAGTTAGTCCCCCAACTATGACGGTTTTCAATATATTGGTGTTCAATCTATGAATCATTGTCATTTTACCCTCCGCTAAGTAGAATAAAAGAAATTTTGTTACGACTTATATCATTGAGTGCTAAGCAAATTAGATTGAAAGAATGGATTAAAAACAAATAGAACAATTGGTGAATAGGTGAGATTTTGATTTCAATTGTTTTTTTATGTATCAATTAGGATAAACATTTCACGTTTTAAGGCGAGATTAGGAAAAAAAACAAAAATAATAATATGTATGATGAAATTTTGAGTATAGAAAAAAGAAAATATAATCGCTATTAGTTCATAAAATAAACTTTTAAACAATAAATTAACCTAAATGATAAATTGATAACATGATATATGAAAATGCAATTAATATAAAATGCCATTATGTATTAAAAATATCAAATGTTTAAATTCTCTTTTTTTTTTCTTACAAAATAATAAATTTGGTTCACAATGCCAACAATTTTGACATGCTATTTAATCAGCTATTATAGTATTTATGAACTATTTTTTATTTTTAAACTATAGATTATTTGTTCTAATATCTAAAGTTTTGATATAATCATGGAATTCGACATTCATTATTTGTTGGACGAGATAAAAATAAATAAAACATATGATGTCTTTTAATTAAAGAATGTTTTCAAATAACTTAAAATTGATTTTAGATAAGAAATAACTTGGTGGTTAAAAAAAAAAAGTTAAAGTTTTTGTCATTTTGAACTCATGTAAAATATTTTATATAATCAAGGGACTTATTTGTAGATTAATTCATGTATGTTTCGTGGGTCCCATAATGGATTGTTTTTTCTTTGACTTTGTGTGTTGGTGTCGTGGCGGGAATTTGCTGGCATTTTTGGAAGGGCCTTGTCGTAGAACCTTATTCTCGGCAGCCGACAGAGAACGACATCGTTTAATTGCTTCCTGCATTGTGGAGTGGGCATTATTATTTATGGACGCCCATACAACAGGTTTCAATGTCTAGTCGTCGTCGGTGTGGATTTTTGCAAAGGGAATCGGACAGCTACAGTTTCTGTCATTAAAGCCCACTCCTATTCCCTAACTTCCTTTTTAAGTAAATTATTCTTTCACACCTCAGTAACTCAGTCCTTTGGTTTTCAGGGCTAAAAAAAAAAAAATGGAATCGTTCCAAATTTTTTTTTCTTACAATTTTGTAAATATCCAATGTTTAAAAGTAATTTTTTTAAAAAAAAATTGATTTTAAAAAACTTAGAAATTATTTCTGAAAGTGAATTGAATTTTTATTAATACATATGAAATTTTTCAATTTAAAATATCAAAAATTGAAGTTTTTAAAAAGGAATTTTGGTCAATAATAATAATGGAGAATTAAAGTAAATGACATGTGCAAGTTTTTGAAGAGTGATGAACGACGTGATAATTGAGTTAAAAATTAAAAAACAAAAAACAAATTACAGATAGATGCATAATATTATATCTTCATTTTTTTTAATTTAGTTTATTTACTATTTTTTATGTCTTATTACAATATAATGCCTATATTTATGTTTAGGATATAAAATTTGGAATTGAGTGAAATTATGCTTAAAATTAAGAAATTTTAGCATGTTTGAGTTAGGTCTTCCGAGATTTTTATAGGTTTTTAATAGTTTTGACGATAGAATTAGAAGAAGTGATCTTCATAGTTTTTGTAGAGGACACCTCAAGCTTTCGAAAATGGCATAATAAATCAAAATTTAATTTTATTTGAGTCTTCATACGATATTTCATATTTTAGTTTACAAAGCTAATCCGAATCTTATTGGAAGTTTGATTCTTAATTTATATATAAAGTTTTAAAAGCCCAATTGATGAGAGGCAAACCCATGAAACTAATGGAAGTATATCTACAATTCTTATAAAGTGTCTGAGTCTAGGTCGGTTTGAACGAGGAATTTAACTGTAAGGTTGAATTCCTGAGCCTGGACTAACTGGTTGCGTCACTTTCTTAAAAAGAGAGAACTCTAGATCAATATGTATATGTTGAGACAAAAATTTCCTTGTGTCAATACATTGTCTCTCCACTTTGCTGGTTGGTATTTACACATTTCTTTCTTTTTTCTTTTACTCATTGCTTCCATAAAAACATACAAAATCTCATATCATCTCAACAGTTTCTTATAATTTAAGGTCTGAAGGAGGCATAAAATGCTCTGTTGTCAAACCCCATATGTTAAAATCTACCTCGTCAATTTTCCAGTGCTCTTCCATTTCTCTCTTGTGGTTCGCAGATTGCTCTCCGTATCTGAAAACAGTAACACGAGTCTGACCGCTATGTGCTATGTTGACACCATCGACATACTTGTAATCATCCATTATCGATTCTGTACTCGTCTCCCAGAATATATCCTCGCCGTCTTTCGTTCTCAACCCTAGCAGCCTTGAGTCCTCGAACTGGATCAAGAGGCCTGACCTCTGGCTAAAGTATCCCCATATTGTATGGTGAATTATCTCGTAGTTTGGACCACTTTGTGCCTCTCGAATTGCTGGACTTGTCTCTAGCTTGAGGATGAAGCAATCCTCATCTTTTATCAGTTTTTCTCCAATGCAGGTTGCATCTATAAACAAGTTTGCGGTGGACCTAGGATCCAATCCCTGCCATAATTCTACATTAATTTTCACCATCTAGTGCATGATCGTTTCTACAATAAGGTAGACATTGTTGTAGATGTAAATCATAAAGAGATAGATGATTCTAACCTGTAAAAATCGGCGCAAGGGTCTAGGAGGACCCTTTGAAATTGGCGTTCGTTGGCTAGAAGAATGCCTCCATGAAATCTGGCCATTGCTTCCACATATCACCTTACACCCAGACACAAGAAGCTCTAACATCCACAAGTCTGGATCTTTCTGCCAAAGCACAAATCCACCCGTTTCCTCGCTGCCTTTCACGTTTATGGTTTGATCACCTTCATGAAATTCTGATGCCCTAATTTTCACCTCTCCAATTACACACATGCTGTGCACTGCATTTAATGCTGCTTGCCCTCCTGTAGCCGCTATGTATTGTTGCACGATATATTTGGCTGTTGAAGCTTGCTGCAAAAAAAAAAAAAAAAAAATAGTAACATTGTCATTTTCGTAGAAAAAGCATGGAAATACTCCTGATGGGGATTGCTAATTTTTCTAGCAATACGCAATAATTCTGATGCAAAATAAAATTTCAGAGAGATATATGGATGTTTCTATAAATTCCTTACAATGGAACAATCTTTGACAGGTTTGTGAACAGAATGGCCTACTTGCACTTGAAGAGGAATAAGAGGAGATCCAACCATGTAAAGGAGGAATCTTAGCTCATTAATTCGAGCTGCAACGACCGGTTGTGACCATTTATCGGAAGTTTGAGCCCTCATCCACGTGAGCATGTTTTGCCAGCGTAATTCAGCATTGCTGCCCATGCTAGTGTACATTTCTTCAGGTATTGGGACCTCAAGAACCGTCTCAAGGCCATCTTCTTTGTCAATATTTGGACAGAGTTTCCTCATTGTGAAAATTACAGAAATAGAGAGGTTAAAAAAAATGATAAAATGATGATTAATTAGAGAGTCAAGAGAAAGAGGGAGGAAGAAAGATCAAGAGTCAAATGCTGTGTGTTTTCTCTTTTTTCATGCATTTACCTGGGGACGGTAAACAAGAAAAAAATGTAAGGAAAATTGAGAAGAAGAGACTTGCCTAAAGGCTGGCCTTGCTTGTAGGTCTCATGTGGGCATGATCTATAGCAGGATTTGGTTGTTTCAGTGGTTCTATTTTAAGAGACCTACCCCTGTTGTTGAAGAAATTTTTTTAGAGAAGCAATCCAAAATAAAGCCAAATTTTCTCCTAAGCTGGAGTACCATTCTTGTCAAATCTTACATTTCCCACTAAAAATAGACAGCTGACTATACCAACCATCTCATACACAAAACAACCATTTTGAACCAAGCATTGATGAAGTAGATAGAGGAATGGAAGAAGCTTGTTATTTTTCTCATAAACGCTTCTGTCAGATCATAGCTGCAGCCATGCATAGCACTAGGCTCTTCCATATTCACATATTTGGTCCAGAAAAAAATAATATTAAGATCATGACACTCAATCATGTTCAAAGTGCATTCATCTAGACAATAGATGGTAGAAAAATTATGGATCCACCCGAATGATCCCTCCACTAAATTCTATGTCAATAAGAGATCTAGTCTTTTTCAAGAATGAAATATTTGTACTCTTTAATATTTAATATTTGGAGGAGAAAACTTTGTTGATAATAACAGGAAAAAAAACCTCAATAAAATGTTGTTTTGGTCATTAAATAAGTAAGCGTTTAAGGATATCTTTGTCTAATGAAACGTATATAATTATTTAAACAAATAATTTTAATTTTGAGTCTTTATATACGTGGACAATATCTTATGTAATTGTGTCTATTTCGTGCATCCGATTGAATAACGAAAGATTAGTATGGATTTTTTTTAAAAAAAATTATATTTTAATTTATATATATAGCTATAGGTAATTATAGTATAAGATGAGTTAATCATTTAAATGGGTTTGTGTTTTACTTATCAGCACAACAAGAACAAATAAACTCCCAGCTTCCTATTTGATAAGTGAGAAGATGCAATTTTTAGATATATTATTATAAACCACTCCATATATATATATTCTCTTTTAATAACTTAGAACATTCAGTTTACATAGATTGATCTCCGATGCACATTTTGTTTAAGAAAGGATCGTGATTTTTTTAAGAATTATATAGCATGTTAGTTATCTTTTGTAATGTATTTTTCATTTGCTACCAAATTTTATGCTTCACAATCCTAAAAATTGGTTTTCTGATTTACGAATGGAATCTTGATTTTGACAGCCATGCATGAAGGATTTTGCTACCAAATTTTTGGCACCTAGCTAGTTGCATTGGCAGGGGAAATAACACACTAGAGAAGTTTTATCAAATTGAAACATAATTAGCTAAAGTAGCTCAACAGCATTTAGCATCAAAACTACTTCTTGAATAAAATGGAAAAAAAAAGTCTAAAAATACAACAAAGAAAAGAAAAGAAAAACCTAGATACTCAAGAAACTTAATTTGAACGAAAAAAGTTTTAGTTACTAAAATAAATAGTTTCGGATTCGAATCCTTGTATATACGGAAAACTCTTTGAATAATTATATCCGTCTTATACGTTCGATCGAACAGACAAAAGATTAATCTAGATACTTGTTTTATCAATTATGTCATTTTGCTAAATAGTATGTATAAAAACTATTAAATTAAGCAGTTTTATTAATTGCCCAAAAAATTTTGCCTCCATAGCCTTCTTTTGATGTAAGTGCAAGTTTTGTGCATAGTTCCCTTGTAATTATAACACAAATCCAGCTAAAGCATACTTACATTATAATACAATTGTCGCTAATAATTATGGATACAACTCCTTAATTGCCATGTTACATATCACTCCTCCTTTGCATTGCTAAACCTTCAACTCTACCCCTAATACCCTTGCTAAATAGCTCTTCTATGTCTTCCAAGGACCTTCCTTTTGTCTCTGGGAATAGGAAATAGAAGAAAAACCAGGCAAGCACAGATATACCAGCAAACAAGAAGAAAGCTCCTCCAATGGTAATTGCTTCATAGAGTGAAAGAAAACTCATAGAAATAGTGGCATTCATGAGCCTATTCACAGCAACTCCAATACTATACCCTTGCGCCCTTAGCTTCAAAGGAAATATTTCAGAGCTGTACACCCATGTGACTGGTGCAAGCCCAATATTGAAGAAAGCTACGAACGTATATGTAGAAATTATGCTAAGGCTTAGTGCCCACACCAGCTGCTTTCCATGGTGATCCTCCACTATAGTCAAGCAAGCTCCTAATACTGCTAGGGCTGCTGCGATACCTGATGTGCTAACAAGAAGAAGACGCCTTCTTCCAACTCTATCTACCAAAAAAGTGGAAATGAATACAAATACGAACTTTGTAAGCCCCACACCAACGCTTGCAAGCAATAGCTTTTCCTTGTCAACGATACCAGCTTTCTTGAAGATTCTTGGACTGTATAAAATGACTGCTTCGATCCCAACTGCATGCTCAAAGAAATGGATTCCGACGGCGGCAATTAGTATCCAACGGACTGCCGGTGTTGGCCTTAAAATTAGCTCTTTCCAGACCCCTTCTCCATGAGTTTTCTTCTGGGGATCAGGTTTGACAAAGTCGTCGTTGCAATTCACATCCATCCCAGCTGCTACTTTTATGTCGCGAAAACGGGCTTCAGCTTCTTCTTCAGAATTCGATACTCTGCACAGGATTTTCTTGGCTTCTCCTAAACGACCTTCCATCACTAACCACCTTGGAGACTCTGGCATGTTTAGGATGCCAATGGCCAAGGCAAGTGAAGGTATAGCTGCAACGCCGAGCATCATTCTCCAACCAAGTTTCAGGCTCAATTTTCCAAAAGCAACATTTGATATGTAGCCAAGTAAAACACCGATACTTATTCCAAGCTCTGGTAGACAAGTCAGAAAACCTCGATACGAAGGCGAGGAAATTTCTGCTGAATAAACAGGAGCAATCATTAGGGCAAAGCCTACACCGATCCCTGCAGTGCATCGTCCTGCCATCAGGACACCGAAATCTGGAGCGTACCCCATCAGGATTGAACCAAGCATGAAGATGATGCAGGCTACAAAAATGGTGTAACGCCTGCCAATATAATCAGAGGTTCTTCCAGCAAGAAGAGAACCGAACAGGGCACATATGTTTAAGATTCCAGCAAGAACTTCCACTTTCGAGTCATGGATTTTCAGTTCTTCTTTTATGAATATCATGGCTCCACTCATTACTCCAGTGTCTGAAAAATGAAAATCTTGAAATCATAACATATTCCACAACATCTAACCACAAGGAAAGATCGAACATAACATGGACGAACAGATTGAATACTATGATACCCATCAAATTCTAACACCATTTGGTGTTAAAGAATGAGAATTCTATGTGACATTCAAGAGGGAAAGGAAGTAGAAGGAACTCACCATATCCAAATATAATGGATATCAATGAAGCAACTATAGAACATCCAGCAGCATACTTGTTCAATTTTTTCTGGTTTTGTCCACCACCACCGCTCTCCATTGACACCATGATGATTATTTCTCTGCCTGTCTCTTTGATCCTGATGATAATATTTGATCCTGATAATAAACTAAAAATCCTAGCAAATAACTATATGTCTAGCTGTATATAGTTTTCTCACAATTGATCTTATGAAAACCAAATCTGACCTCTCTCTCATTATATAGGGGAGTGATGTGACTAAAACATATCAGAAAGCGAACTTCTATTCTAAGAATGTACTTGTGGCATCCACCTTCAAAGGTCGAAATCTACTATTTATCACTCTGTCACAAACTAAAAAAGCTTTTAGGCCAGGCCAACCCAATAAGTTAGGCTAGATAACTTCATTTTGAGAATGAGAAAGTTGGATTAAATCAGAATTTGCATCATAAACTATTCTCTTTGAGTCAAGAATTCTTCTTTAGGAATTTTTATTTTTTTGTTCGGCAGTAAAATTGTCTTCGGATCAACTTTTGCACACCTCAAAATTACTCATTTCCTAAACATGGTTACGAGACACTCCTCAATATACGACTTCAGGTATTTTAAAAATAAATTCTCAAGAATGCTGATAAGATGAATAGAATCCTAGATCTAGTCTATAAGTCAACACTTACTTCCAATGAGATCTGACATTTATATTTTATTTAGCATGTGATTTTAGTATTTTTATATTGTTAGTATAGACACAAGTATAACCTTCACATACATATAAAAATCCCATGCTAAATAATGTTATATAAAAGAGAGCATAAGAATGGTGATCTAAGTTTGTCTTCGTTGAATTTCGTAATTAGCTGTCACTGTCTTCATGGGCAAGTCCAACTCTGCAAGGAAAATCTGATCCAAAATTATTTTATCTGGATAAGATTTGGCCGATCTAACCTGCATAGTCAACCAAATACCGCACCTTATAAAGGCACTGACTCGGTATCTTCGGACTTGCAATACTGTCATGATAAAATAAATTGCAATGTAAATGAATAATTTTTTTTTTAATATGATAATCCATTTAAACTTATTTAGGGTCATATTAAAAAGTGATTTGCATGTACTTATCTAAACCTAATAGACCCAAAAGCTCATAGCACATTAATAATAATTTTTTACAAAAGGTCACGGATTCAAATTCTAATAGATTAATTCTATTAAATATATTAAATATATGAGTTTAAAAAAAAAAAATCTAAACCTACTCACAATTGTCCATCTTTAATCACCAATTTTCTACTTTATTTTGAATTTGAATGCATTTTTGCCAAACATTTTCATCTCCAAGTCGATCCTCTCACTCACCTCATATAAATTCATAAAAAATTAATTTCTCATTAATCGACCTATTACTCTATCATATATTTGATCTGGATAAAACAATCTCATGTCGTGAGAGTAAATTGTTTTTAACTCTTTAATCTCGAAATAAATAATTTGCTTTGACAGAATTACACAGACTAACTTAGTTTTAGAGAATAAAAAATCTAAATAAAAAAAAACTATATATTTTTTTTAACTCATATACTCAAAATTTCTAATAAAATTAATTTATTAGGATTTAAAATCATAATCTTTTATTACAAAATATAATTATCAGTGGACTACCAGCAATTTTGTTGAACCATGTGTTTCCCTTTCAAAGAAGTGGCTCCGCGGCTCCTCTGTCCAAAATGTGGATATCTTATATATCTTAGTCGCTGGTCAAATATATCACCCATTGGCCAGATGCTCTGGCCAAAAGAGACGGGATGATCTTTTCTTTTCTTTTCTTTTTTGCTTTTTTTTTTTTTTTTTTTTTGAGCTACAAGCACTTAACTTGATTTAAACAAGGCAAATGTTGGTGGGTCGGTGCATGATATAGGTACTAGGCATGCTAAAAGACAGAAGATGCTTGGTTATATATCTTCCTACTGAACCTGAATATCTACCTGAATATGAAAAAAAATTCACCAATATTTTGTGCATGCGGAATGATCAATTTGGTATCCTTAGCTTAATTGGTAATAAGCCACCGTTCAAATCTTATATACTGTTTTAAGAAAGGAGAACCTACAAAAGTACATATCTGATCGGTGAGGAATTAATATATTAATTTTTTTTAAATACAATAATTCAAATATGAATAAAGATTTAATGACAAATTTTGTCATCATTCTATTTTGATTTGATAATTTTAAGCTCATATTATTAAATTGCATAATTTGAATAGCAAAGTATTAGAGATTAAGTAAATGTTATTTAAATTATCCAATTTGCGTCATTTGTAACGATTAAATTGAAATGCCAAAACAACGTCGTTTTGACATTCCGTCATTAATTATGTTTTTTTTTAAATATATTTTTAACCTCCTAATCTTAATTTTTTTAAAAAAAATTCTTATAAAATATTATAAATATTTTTAACCTCCTAATCTTGAATTTTTTTAAAAAAAAATTTATAAAATATTATAATTTTTTTTTATAATTTATAAAATTAGGAGGATCAACCCTTAATTATGCTCATTTTAATTTATAAATATTTTTAAGGCCTGAAGTTTGTATATTGTTAAATATGTTTTTTTTTATCATAACATTTTATATAAAAAAATAAAAAAAAAGTTCAAAATTATCGGGTTAAAAATATTTATAAAATGTTTTTTTATATAATTTATAAATTTTTATAATATTTTTTTAAAGAAAAAGTTCAAGATTAGGAGGTTAAAAATATTTTTAAAATGTTTCTTTAAAAAAAATATAATTAACAGCGGAATGTCAAAATGAGGTCATTTTGACATTTCAAGTAACGGTCAACTTAATTGACCATTACACATAACGAAAATTAAGCAATTTGAATCATATTTGTTCACTCTCTAATAGTTTGAGGTTCAAATTACGTAATTTAGATTATCAAATCACAATAGAATAATGCAAAATTTGCCATTAGGTAAATAACCTATTTAAAAAGCCCCTGACTGAAGAAGAATTAATATGTTAAAGGAAAAACCATAAAAAAACCAAGTTGAATTATTAATTAGAGAGTAATTTACTAGTCTCCAGTGAATTATTTAATAAAAAAAGACAGCTGATCAACTACGGCTCAACTGATATTAGTGTTCTACTTTCTCTGTCAAAGATGTCGAATTTGAAATTTTTTTTTTTTTTAACAAAAACAAAAAACCAAGTTGAATTTATTAATTAGGATTCTAGTATGAAGTCCAGTTGATCTCATTCTTTGTTTCTGTCTTTGTCTGTAATTTGTATAGCTGGAGCATCAGAGAGCGTGTCATGCATCTTCCAAAGTCAAAATTTGTAAAGTTTAGTTTACTCATTGTGTCAAGGAGATAAGGAGCATGGAGACTTTTGGAAGGAAACGTTTACAGACAATATCCCATTGCTAGTCTCTGTCATGCATTCTTCCTTTTCAATTAATTAATCTACTGTATATTCCTGTAGTTTTTCATGGACTAAACGCTTGTTTTCTTCCATTAATCTAATGGGACCCTTCCACATCCTGAAAGAGACGAATGACTGAACTAAAAAGACAATTCGTTTTTTAATGGTAATTTTTTTTATCTTTCAAAGTATCCTGGGATTAAAAATTCAGACTAATTCTTTACTGTTCTGTCAAACATATAAAATTAGAAAAGCTATTCAGAGAGTCTTTTGCATAAATAATAATTCGAATTTGAAACTATTTATTTAATCGATTAAAACTTTTTTCGCTCAAGTTAACCTTTTTCGGTTTTTTTTTTATCCTAATGACATGTTGAATGGTAGAATATGATTAGATATGTGAAAGGGCCTTTTATTAGTAATCTATTTTATTCAACAAAAATCTAACAAATGACAATATTTGGCGCCCACCCACTAATTGGTAGGCAAAGCTGGACAGCCAGTTATGTATACGTATACTAATTTGGTTCTGGATCTGTAAAGATTGCCAAATTGAATTGAAATATTTATCATTGGATCAAGGGAAATTGCATTTGAATATCCCCTCTAGCAGAAAATCAGCCATATATATTTGGTTAGTCAAACTCATGATCGACAACCAAATATACCAATATCGGTTGATGAGGTTGGAAACTTAATTAAGAAATAGGTGATAACGTAGACTTTTCTTTTCTTTTCTTTTTTTATGGTTGAAGGGATGAAGAAGATATTCAAAAGGGTTAGCTTGAGTGGAAGAAGCTCTAGTTGTTTAAGTAAATGATCTTAAATTCGAATCCTTGTGTATATAAAAATCTCTTTGTATAGCTATTTTCGCTTTGTACGTCCGATAGAACAATAAAAAATTAATCTGAATTTTTAAACTTAAGATATCTTGGAGGATCCAAAAAAAGAAATGACGAAGGTTGATGATAAATGAAAGTAGAGAGTTGGAACAAAGAATTTTTGGTCCTTAAGATTCTTATCTAGTTCCTCAAGTTGCATAGAGAAAAAAGTTGTATAGTCTATTTATGTGATTCCAACATTTTTTGGCATCTACTTGGTAGTTGGTAGATTGATTTTTTTTTTCCTTGATAACTCGCTTTTTTGATAGCATCTGTATTGTCATGGTTAATATCGATTGAAAAAAAATGGTTTGATAAGCATATTTTTATTAATATAAATGTATCTTTTATCTAGCAAGTGGGTGAAAATACATTTTATCATTTGGTTTATATTGAGAAATTTTATAATATGTAAAGAATAATTAATGTGTTTGTACAATAATTATTTTATAAATCCACTTTTGAGAAGATAGATAAACATATAAAAAAAATCATATTCAGATCCATCAAAGAAAATTTTCACTTTAACTCAATTTTTTCTTTTTATTTTTTTTTCCTTTTTGTGTTTATCTTTTTTTTTTGGTATCTATCTCTTTCTATAGAATAACTTATATTGTGCATCGCTAAGATACCACCTGTGATTAGTGTTGCCCAAGAGAAAGACCTAGTTACAATGAGAGGTGTGTAAGGTAATATGTATCACCAGATACCATCATGAGCAATTCAAACAAAAGTTTTCCACCTTATTCATCCAAAATATTCTACACAATAAGTAAAATTATGCCACCTTGACAGTTGTAAGTGATTTGTAATGCGTCAGTGCTTAGGAAATGTGGGAGGTCTAGCTAGAGATGATCAAGAGTTGTTTGAATTGCTCTAGCTTCATGCATCTAACAATAAGTGGGTGACTTTTAATGCTTCTTGAGTTGGT